CAGAAAGCATCAATGCATTTAAGATGAAATTTGATGCATACAACAACAACAACTTGCTCTTATAAAGCACCCTCCATGCAGATTAGCAGCTCAGAGTGCTTAACAGTGGCGGAGCCTGACATCGAGCCGGGGGTGGGGAGGAAGGTTTTCAGGTGGGACTTGAAAAAGGGAGAGAGGGGGCAAGGCGGAGAGATTGAGGGAGGGTATTCCAGAGTTTTGGGGCATAGTGGCTGAAAGCACGACCTCCAAAGATGGGGTGGAGAGTGCGAGTGATGAGCAGGAGGCTGGTGCCAGTCGAGTGGAGGCGCAGAGTAGTGGATTGGAGAGTGAGGAGGTCTGAGAGGTAGGGAGGTGCCAGAGAGTGAAGAGATTTGAACACGAGAGTGAGGATCTTGAAGTTGATCCGTTTGGTGATGGGGAACCAGTGGAGTCTGGCCAGAACTGGTGAGATGTGGGTACAGAGTTTGGTCTGGGTAAATATGCAGGCGGCAGAGTTCTGAATGAGTTGGATCTTTTGAATAGTGGATACACTGGGGGCAAGCTGTGGGTAACCTGCGAGGCATTAGGATAGGATGGAGGTTGATAGAATTACATAGAATATACAGCAAAAAAACAGGCCATTCGGCCCAACTGGTCTATGCCAGCATTTATACTCCACATGAGCCTCCTCCTGCCCTTCCTCAACTAAGCCTTCTAGCATAACCTTCTATTCTTTTCTCCCTCATGTACTTATCTAGCTTCCCCTTAAATGCATCTATGCTATTTGCCTCAACTACTCCTTGTGGTAGCAGGTTCCATATTCCCACCACTTTCTGGGTAAAGAAGTTTCTTCTGACTTCCCTATTTGATTTATTGCTGACTATTTTATATTGATGCCCCCTGGTTTTGGTCTCCCCACATCTTCTCTATGGCTATCCTATCAAAACCTTTCATAATTTTAAAGACCTCTATTAGGTCACCACTCACCCTTCTCTTTTCAAGAGATGAGAGTCCAAGCATGTTCAGCCTTTCCTGATAGGTATAACCTTGCAGTTCCTGAATCATCCTTATAAATCTCCTTTGCACATTCTCCAGTGGCTCTATATTCTTTCTGTACTATGGGGACCAGAACTGTACACAGTACTCCCAAGTGTGGTCTAACCAAGCTTCGACATAAGTTCAGCATAATTTCCCTGCTTTACATCTCCTCTAGAAATGACCCCCAACGCTTGTTTTTTTATGGCCTTATTAACCTGCAAAAGTCGCTACTTTTAGCGATTTGTGTATCTGTACCTCTAGATCCCTTTGCTCCTCTACCCCATTTAGATTCTTATTTTCCAGGCAGTATGTGACCTCCTTATTCCTCTGACCAAAATGTACCACCTCACACTTATCTATAATGAAATTAATTTGCCAATTAAATACCCGTTCAGCAAGTTTATTAATGTTTGTAATTTGTTGCCTGGGGTGATGCCAACTGGTATTGCATAATATATCTACTGGTGTTCAGGAGAGAGCAGTAAATTATAATTCTACCATAAGTCTCTATGCTCTCAAGGCCATTTGCTTCAGTCAGAAGAAGAACTGTATTCATCATAACTGCAGAGGTAATTAACAAAATCGGAAACACATTAAAGACTGAATATGGTTTTGAAATGTATTGGGTGACATTTCATCAGCATGCTAATTATGCTGGTAAAGGGAACACTTTACCATTTTAGACACCCAAAGAACATATCATTGACTCCTAGTACAGAAACAGTACTGTTAGAAGCCCTCTTTATTTTGTGGAAAACAATCTCATAAGAGGACTCCTACTCACATTTTCATTTGTCCATTGAAGCCCCCATCATTGGGCTTTCTAGTGCAGAGTGCCTATTATAATAATACTCCTTGCATTTGATACAGCGCCTTATCATTTCTTCGAGATGTCTCAAAGTGCTTCACAGAATATACTGTAAAGTAAGTTGACTGTAATATTTTGTGGGCAAAACACAGCAGCCAATTGAGCACAACAGAGTCCCTCCCACAAACAGTCATGGATTGAATGACCAAATTATTATTTTCTTTAAAAGGGATTATTATTACCCCCAGAAAGCAATCCGCCAATCAACTAACAACCCGATTCCTACTTACTTACTGCTAGGTAAATAGGCTTGTGGAGTAAAGAAACTTTCCTAAGGTTTCATCCTGCCCAGCAGTCGAACCCAAGTCCTCTCGCTTGTGAGGCGAGTGTTCTTACCACTAAGCTACAGGATTCCAGTGGGACTCTACGATGGTGGGTGGGGAACACACAAGTGCAAATTCACTGAATGATTGTGGCAAGCAGTGGCAAATGCATATTAGTCCTGAATCCTGTGCCGTTTTGTGCTGTGAACCCATGAAACTGGCTTTCCATTGCTTTGTATTATTTCATGCAAGATCCTTATCATCATGTACTACATTCATCCTCTCAGTCTGATCTGGATCCAGATCCCAGAGGTGAATGATGAGTGCGCATAACACAGTGCCAGTAGCCTAAAGCTTCTTGTGTTAAATCAGAAATCTGCTGTTAAATTTAACAGTCACCCAGAATGTATGTTTTGTGATTTATAGCACTATCAAATCGTGCGCAGAATAGAACAAAATCTAAATCTTCTAAGTCCCAAAGCCTACAATGAATCCTCTCTAAACTAACGGTCTTACTGTCACAAACCAAGCAATATAGTTTGAATGCAACATATCTAGCCATCAGAAATCCAGGCTTCCCAAACCAAGACTACTAACTAGGCTACAAACATCTCAGTGGACTCTTTCATTTCAAAATATTATTATTGTGGCAAATGCTTATTGCCACCTCCATGTGATTAAAAAAATGTGCTGAAAAAGTATTGTTTTATAAGGGAGAGTAATTGGATCAAATATCTATTTATGGTCCGATGATAAGGACTATATAATATAGTAAGGACTATATAATACCATATATAACAAGGCTGGAGCCCACTAAACGGAGGGAGCGGGCAGGTTGGTAGGGAGTCAGAAGGTCAGAGAGGTAGGAGGGGTAAGGCCATGGATGGCCTTGAAAGTGAGGACGAGAATCTTGCATTCGATCCTCTGAGGGATGGCGAGCCAGTGGAGTCGGGCGATGGTGTGAGTGATGGGGTCACAAAGCCTGGTGTGCAAGAGTACACAAGCTGCAGAGTTTTGGATGATCTGCAACTTGTGAAGGAAAGCGTTCGGAAGGCCGATGAAGAGTGGATTTCCATAATCGAGCCTTGATGTGATGAATGCGTGGGTGAGGGTTTCGGCAGCCTGAGGGGTGAGGCAGTGGCGGAGTCTGGCAATGTTGCGGAGGTGGTGGTAGGCAGTGCCGGTCATGGCATGGATGTGGGGGAGAAAGGACAGTTCAGGGTCAAACAAGATACCTAGTTTCCTGACTGGCTTAGTGAGGTTGAGTGTGCAGCCATGGATGCTGATGCTGCCAGCGCCTGAGATACGGAGGAGCTGGCGCGAGCCATTCCGGAGGGCCTCGGTCATGCTGACGTTCAGCGGGATTGACTCCTGATTTTTTGGCTTGAGTATTTAAAAAGAAACAATGTCTGTAATTTTGTTCTTCTCTAATTGTCTTCCCTCTGCCATATGCCTCTCTGCTCCTGGTCAAGCCTCCTCTTGCCCTTGTTCCACAGGCGCTGGTTGCCTTCCTAGTGGCCATTGTTCATGTATAAGCCTTAACAGGGAGTGTTGGCAGTTATAAGTGGGGTCTTCTTGGAGCTCGAATGTTAAAGGAATGTCGGGATCAAGCCAACCCACTCGATGGTGGTCTCAGTAGCCCAGTTCCTGAGCTGGGTGGGTTCACAGTACTTCATCCAGGGCACCGCTGAACACTGGCATTTGTCCCACTCAGCTACCCTTCCTAGCCGAAGCCCTAATAAGTAGGATGATCCTAGTTGGATGAACAGTTGAAATCTGGCCAGACATTGCTCTCAATGGCAAGCTATGCGGCTTCAGATTTTAAACTCCAGAAGTACCCCAATGCACACTTTGGGGTCACCAAGCCTTGGCTCTTGCCAACTTGCATTTAATATCCTTTTGAAATTTGGTAAGCAGGGTTCCCCAGCGAGAGTGCACTTTTCATTCCAGACTAGAGAAATTCCCATGTACATATGTGGTACTTTCAGTCTGGGTTGGAATCTCATAATCATGTCTACAGTCAACCCTCTACCCGGCTACCACAGGCACTCCCCGTCAGTAAAAGCAGTACAGGGAATCATGGTGCCACTTAAAACCACATAGGAATGCCATTGAGGACACTGCAAGCCTCCCACTGCTCATCCAACTTAGACCACCCTACTTGTTAGGGCTTCGGCTTGTAAGCTTAACTAGAGCTGAGTGAGAAAAAATCCCCGCATTCAGCAGTAAAGGTTGAATAGGGATGTGAAGCAGGATCTTTGGATGGTTATCCCTTCCTTAACTGTAAGAAGGCTGGGGCCAACATTGTATCTCAATGCAGCCCTGGAGCCCTGGCTGAGACCAGCAAACACAGTGCAGACCAGGATTCAAACTGGTGCTCTGGGACTCTACCCTGAGTGAGGGGCACTATATAAATGCACGTTGTTGTTGTTGTTGTGATAGTGAGCTGGTCTGTAAAGAGCAGCACAATCCATAACACCATTGGGGCTGCCCTTCGCTTAATTCTGCTTCATCTTGATCAATCATTAGTGAATAATAACTTTGAATAAATCTGTGTATCTTGTTTCCAGCTGATATTTTGACCTAGGACAGCACTGGGTCTCAGTAAAGTGTAATGACTTGCTGAACCGTTTGAGAATCTGTGGCAATTAAATTGAAATGATGTGGGGGAAAAAGTGCGCATTTAATATAATAATTTTGGCATTCGATAGAGATGTCTTCGAGATTTATCAAGGCACTTCACAGGATTTTATTGTATTTGTAGGTGAACAAAGAATAGGAGCAAGGAATTTGTGTTGATGCAGTTCACTACTCTCGTGGTTTGAATTTAATTTTCTTCCTTTGCCTTTCAGAAATGAAGAAGAGTTGAGAAAGTCTCTCTCCGAACTGGCAAATGATAAAACGGATAGTGCAGGATCCAGGACCAGCAATCGGATTGGCTCCAGCAGCAACCCTTTCCTGGACATTCCCCGGGATCCCAATGCTAAAACATACAAAACAGGGTTCCTCTCTCGAAAAATCCACGCAGACATGGATGGGAAGAAAAGTGAGTCTTTAGTCTTCTCCCCTTTTCCTGTTTAATTAACTGCTTCCTCTATCAAGGAACCTATCTATTTGTTAGATCAGAATACTAAGGGATACAGGGCAACGGTGGGTAATTGAACTTGAGGTACAAATCAACCATGATCTTATAGAATCGCAGAGCAGGTTTGAGAGGCTGAATGGCCTATTCCTGTTTCTATGAATGGAAAATTAATTTGGTCATATTCAAAGCCCCTAGTGGTGACTTCTTAAGAGTTGAAATATTTCTAGAAGACGAGCTCAGTTCTGCTTGGTTTGTTTTCTTTCTACTTGAGGTGTTAATCACATGAGCAATTTGAAGGATATGGTTCCATGTTGTGAAACAGTTAGGACGTTGAAAATGGACAAGACAAATGGTTTCTAACGGAGGCAGGATTCTGTTAAACCATTCTCGGAATACCTTTATCTGAATTGCAAACCTTTTAAATTAGCCAAGAGGATAGGGAAAGGAATTGCAGTAGTTTTAAGATACAACAACAAAAACAAATTACATTTATATAGCACCTTTCATGTCAGCAGGACATCCCAAAGACACAAACCTGTTCAAGCAACCACCCGCTGTTAACAACCACCCAGCAATAGCCTGGTTCCACACCAGTGAACCCTTACAAAGAGACTTTGGCCCTATGCCCTGAGTTGAAGATGGGCTTCACTGTTCATGGCTTTTCAAAAAGCATTTAATAAGATGGCACATATGAGGCTCACAACATTAATTATGGCATTTGGAATTAAAAGGAATGTGACCACATACATAGAGGGTTGAACTCGCACTTGTTCTTAGTTAGGCCACATTTATTGTATTGTGCACACATTTGGCACTCCATTTAAAAGAAAGGTATACAAGTAATAACAAATATGTATCAGTGATTTTTTTGTAAGATAAAATATATATGCAATAATATATAAGATTCACTAGATGTTCCAAGGGATGAAGGTTTTCATTTATGAAGAGAGACTTGAAGCACTAGAGCTTTATCGCTAGAACTAAGAAGGTTCAGGAATAATCTGATAGAGATCTTCAAGCTTATAAAGAGTAGATATGTAGTAGTTCATTTCCATTGCCCAGGAAGTTGGTGGGATAGGATAAAGTTTACTTAATGACAAAGGATTAACATCAACAACAACAGGAATTTGCACTGATATTAATGCCCTCACGCAGGGTAGCATCTCAGAGTGCTTAACAGTGGCGGAGCCTGATTCCGATTCATGGGGTGGTGGGAGTGGGGGAGGTGGCTGTAAGCACGGTCGAAGAGGAAGGTTTTCAGGCAGGACTTGAAAAAGGGGAGAAAGGGAGCAAGGTGGAGGGATTGAGGGAGAGTGTTCCAGAGTTTCAGCATTAGGGAGTTAAGGACATTTGGGATTAAGGAGTTTAGACACAGGTTCTTTACACTTTACAATACTTTCACAAGGGATTTAAATGGATGTTAGGAATTTAAAGGTAAGGGGAGCAAAGAGGAGAATGGAATTAAATTAGGAGGCTCATGGGGAGAGAAGCTGCATAACCAGTTAGAATCAAACGCAACCAAGCGTAAAGGTGTTTTTCTTTTCTGGAATGACAAACAATCGAAGAATTCAATGTCAAGCTTTGACAGTGGCAGACCATTTAAGATGAAATAAATTTCAGAATTGAAAAGAAGCTTTGGATGATTAAGTCAATGTTTAGTATTTCTCAAACCAAAAAGGTGTTATTGACCTTTCTGTATGTGAAGCTGACCGTTCAGTTCTAAAAGGAGATCAAAGTCAATATTAGATAGTTTCACGTGTTCTATCAAATGTACATGAGAAGTAATGTAGAGAAGTCGGCTGATCTATACCACATGTTGACTTGTGGGTCTTTCAGATATGAGAACTGCTGATCAGAAAACCCTGTATCTGCTTTTCTTGGCAGCTTGACTTCTCAGTACCTTCTTATCTGATCTCTCTCCTTTGTCAGTTCTTGGAGATCAATCCAGTCAGCACAAACATTAACTGAAGCACAATCTGTATACGTTTGAAATGGAGTAACATTTTGTCTTTAAGGTCACTTTGTGACCGAACTTCTTTGCATCAGAATGGGTACTGAACTCCAGGTAGGACTGATCTAGGCAATTTGAAGTCCACTCTTTAATAATAATCCTAACATTTGATATAGCACCTTATCACATTGTTAATGTCTCAAAACGCTTCACAAGATTTAACAGTAAAGTACTGTGACAGTTTATTTTATAGGCAAATGCGGCAGACAATTTGCACCCAGCAATGTCCCACAAACACCAAAGGCAATTAAACAATTTTATCTGGGAGATTGTTGGCCAGAACACGAGGAGAAACTCCCTTCTCTTTTTGAATAATAATAATAATCCTTGCATTTGATATAGCACTTTACACGAATAGTGTCATCATAGCGGGGTATAAGGTCCACCTAAACAGACAGAGTTCTTTCATTGTTTATTTCGACGGATTCAATGATTTACTCAATGATTCTTCCTGAATTCCATTAGCAAACTGTTAGGAGATATTGTCCTTCAAAATTTACCTCTTCCATTCTTTAAAATGTGCTACTGTCCTGTATAGAGGGGTTGGCTCCTGTAAGGAGACAACTGTAAAGAAAACTGTAAATGAAAATCTTCTGTCTACTCAACTGGCTGCACTATTGGCACATGGAACATCTTTCACTTTAAAGCCATATAGTGGAAGAGATTAGTATCATGTTGCCAGAGCTGTCACTTTAAGGCCACAAGTAAGGACACTTCAGAAATATGGTTTCATTGAATTGTTTAAAGTTAGGGTCAAACCTAGCTCCATTACACTTTATTCAGCTTGAAGTTTGGCAATTCGGTGGAGTCCTGTAGCTCGATGGTTAGAGTACTCGCCTTGCAAACGAGACACCTGGGATCAGTTCCAGGCAGAGGGCGAAACCTTGAGCAAGTTTCCTTACTCCACGTCTAATAATAATCCCTCCAAAACGAAACAATAATAAATTGGTCATTTTCATTCCACGACTGTTTGTGGGACACTGCTGTGCGCAATTGGCTGCCGCGTTCGCCCACAAATATACGGTCAATTCACTTTACAGTATATTCTGTGAAGCGCTTTGAGAGTCTAGAAGATGTGAAAAGCGACTATCAAATGCAAGGATTATTATTATTAATTCCCTGTTAAGTACAAATTCCTCAATAGATTGGTACCCCAACACTTAAAAGACACCTGCAATATCAGGCCATGATCACACACTGTGAGATCTTCATCTACTTCTGCACTCTGGATGCATTTTGGTGCTCCACCCTTTTATTTATTCGACTGAAGATAGTGGGATGTATTTTGTACCTGTTTGTAGTTTTGCCACTTGTAGACTTACAGTGGAATCATCATATTTGCCACTAAGATCCTGCTAATTCCTAACCCCCATCTGTCTCTTTTAAACCCACACTTGGCTCAGTTCTATTATTCTTAGGCAGGCTCACTGTAGTTCTCTCTTCTCCTCACCTCCCTCCCCTACACCGCCCTCTCCACACCCACTTCAGCAAACTAATTGTATCTAAATTAAGGAGAAATTCTTCTTCAGTCTGTATTGTCACACACCAAAGGTATATCAGCTGATGCCTGCTTAACTCAACCAGTATCCTGAAAACACTGCCTCGGGGGATAATAAAAAGTATGTTTGTCCTGCTATCACTGAATGAGTATCAGAAAGACCACACAGCAGTTTGAAAAGAGATTGTGGACCAGACCATTCAACCATTGTGGTTGTGGGAGTGCTGAGATGGTAACGTGCCTGAGAATACAAAAAGAGGCAGATCAATTGAAGCTCGTTAATCCCATTAGCCTACAAAATCCATAGATGCTACATTTCACCACAAATCCTGTAACGAACTTTGAGACGTCCTCCTGATGTGAATCAAATGTAAAGATTATTAACCCGCTTAATTTCAGATATTAGACAAGCTTTTGTGATTTATCCAAACTGAAGTCAATTGGAATTGTTTGAGACATTTGATATTTTTGGAGGGTCAGGCACATGGGGCAACCCATCACCGTGCTTAAGAGTCTCCAAACTAATCACATCACATCAAACGTTCTGGATGTGCTAGAGTTGAATCTTTCACCACCTTCTTTCGACTTGTGATTTGACTGCATATTGGCTGGATACCGGCCACTCTTTCTCCAGTCAAAATCTAATGACCACGTTGTCCAAACTGACTGCTATATTCGTCTACGAAATACACGATCACTACATTTTACAGTGAACACGTGTGAAGCTCTGATGTTTCAATGACTTGAAGAGGTACCATATCAAATTCAAAGGTTATCAGAGCCAGCATTTGAATGCCTCAATGTACAAGGCAGAAGTCCAATGCTGAGGACTTGGATTTATAGACATTGCAATTGAGGACAGGGTATTGTGGAGAGTGTGTATGGGTCGATTTCCTGCACATTCAGGCAACATTTGATGTGACAATTGTTGAGTGCATTAAATTGACCCCACTGTATTGACTGCCTCTGTTTTTCTTACACTTGTCTGTTTTTCTCTTGTTTCCAGCTCCCAAGGGCAGAAGAGGTTGGAAAACATTTTATGCTGTGCTCAAAGGCATGATTCTTTATCTGCAAAAGGTAATTCAAAATGCTACCAAGCGGTGAAATGAAATGCATGGCCCATCATTCCTACTGTGGCATTTTCATATTGCTTTTCTGGTATTCTACTGCAGATCATCACATAATACATTTGCAATCGATCATACAATGGTAGGAAATTCAACACAGCACATTATTTTATCATCCATTATTTTATCAGCTCCAACCACCTTTTCCCTGCTCTTTCCCAAGCCCCTCTTTATGTTTATCCCTTTTAAATGAGATCATTGATTTGCCTACTTTCCATACTCCCAATAAAGCTTTCTGCAAAACAAAATCACTTGATAAGGATATCAAAGGAATGTGTGGTAGATACAAGGCAGCCCCTGTTATAAATCAGTGTTTATGCTCTGTAAAGTTAAACACCGTGTTACAACAGGTTCGCAAAAAAGAGGATACAGCTCCCAGGGCCTCAGGTCGCTAAGGACTGGCTGGCTTCCTGCGCACAATGCACATTCACAGGAAATCGATAAATATGCTCCAGAAGCCGGAAGTTTCCCCCACTTCCAGGAACCGCAGGTTCAGAGGCCACACAAGTTATAATCGGACTGTCTCTAGTGAGGTGTGTACTTAGACAGTAAGGGTATCAAAGGTATGGAGAAAGGACAGGGAAGTGGATAAGTAACCTTAAATAATAATGATCCTTGCATTTGATATAGGGCCTTATCACTGGAAAGTAAATCGACTGTGTTTTGTGGGCAGCCAATTGCACACAGCAGTGTCCCACAAACATCTGTGGATTGAGTGACAAAATTATTATTTATTATTATTATTACTTGAAAAGGAAAAAAAGTATGCAGGGCTATGGGGTAAGAACAAGGGGATTGGGACTATTTGAAGAGCTCTTTCAAAGAGCCAGCACAGACACAATGGGCCGAATGGCCTCCTTCTTGTGCTGTAAGAGTCTGATTTTAAGGATTGCCATGATTTAGTAAACTGCCAGGAAAGGCTCGAAAGCTTGTATGTCTTCCTTGTTGTTACAGTGCCTCAGTGCACTACTCAGTGACCTGCTGATCAGCCCTGTGCTGAGAACTGACAGCTGCTTTAAAGCAACACAAAAGTGAAAGAATTGACCCCCAGTGGTATATTAATTTTTAAAAAAAACACTTTAGGAGTGATTTTAATGCTGCAAATCAATTTCAACATTTTACATTTATACGGTGCCTTTCATATCAGAAAGATGTCTCAAAGTGCTTTAAAGAGCAGTCTGGGTTCCTGATCTGGGGTTGGAGGGAGCGGGGGGAGCTGGGGTGGGGGCTGAAAGCATGGTGGAAAAGATAGATCTTGGAGCACGTTTTGAAGGTGGCAGAAAAGAGGGTGAGCAGAGATGGAGTTCCACAAAGTGAGGACACAGCAAGAAATTACAATTATATAGTACCTTTAACGTCAGGAAAATGTCCCAAGGCGCTGGACCGTTAGGGGCTTGCACTTGAGCTGGGGGTTGGAATCAGGAGAAGTGGAGGGCAGGGAGGGTAGGGGTAGGAGGGTCACCAAAGGCACGGCTGAAGAGGAGGGTCTTGAGACGGCCTTTGAAGGAGGCGACTGGAAGAGATTTGGATGGGGGGCAGGGGGGGCAGAGAAGTTGAAGGCCTGACTACCAATTGTGGGGTGGCAGGGCGGAGAACATGGTGGTTTGGTGGATCAGACAGAGTGACTTACAAACTCTTCAACCATGATATGCAGCTCACAGTATTCTTTATTTTCCCTCCTCTTTCATATGAGTGAAAGATTGCCCTTTCTCGCTCAAGAACTCGAGTGTGTACATTACTCTCTTTGTAAAGCAGGGTTCTGTACAGGAGCATCGTGGTAAATGTAGTGAAAGTGATGGGTTTATTGTTGTTTTAGGGAGAAATGTTGTGAGAAGTCATGGGTATGGAAATTCAACTGTTCCTCTTTAAATACAATTAAATACAAATACATCCCTTCCTCAATAGGAATGGTAACTAGGGACGCTGGGGACATGGCAGTACTAACCCCCCTAGCAATCTGCCTGCTGTCTCTACTCAGCAGGCTCCGGCCTGCTCCATGTCACCCGCCCGACCTGCTCCACCATCGGCACTCGGGCCTTCAGCCTCTCTGCCCTCATCCTTTGGAACTCAATCCCACACTCCCTTCGTTTCGCTCCCTCCTTTGACTCCTTCAAGGCCCTTCTCAAGACCCTCCTCTTCAACCGTGGCCTTCGGCCACCCTCCTAGCCCTACCCTCCCTGCTCCCCACCCTCCCTCATCCCAACCCACTACTCGGGTCCAAATCCCTGAATGTCCAGCACCTCAGGAGGTCCTCCTGATGTGAAAGACGCTGTGTAAATATAATTTTGTATTGTACAGGAGTGCTGTGCACCTGCTCACCACACTCCCTGCGTCCGCCTGAGCAGGCAAACCGGTCCTCAATTACAGGACATTCCTAGCACTCATTGAAATGTTAGCATAAACTATGAGCTCAGTTTCCTGACACTGGGCTTGAATCCACAAGCTTCTGACTCGGAAGCGAGATTGCTATCAATTGTGCTTAAGCAATGGATTTAGATTTATTAGTGTGTTTAGCACCGTCACTGTGTTTGTGACTCACTGGGATAATTCCTCTCAAGGCTGAAAGCAGCACTTGACAGTAGCACTTCTCAAATGGAAACTGATGACCTGTCCACAAAGAATGATCATTGCTGGGAGAAAGGCATCACTTGATTACTTTGAGACAACAACCACTTTTAGTCGGGATTAGTTGAGAAGAGTTACTCTGCTCTTTGATTTATTGACATCCACAGTGCTGGACAAGTTTTTAATCTAAAGTTTTGGGTTTGATTCAGCGAATGTTAATTTTTGGCACGTTTATTGTTCTTTGTTGGGCTTACTTATGATGGGAAGAGTTGTGGCGGGTCGTGGTTAAGTAGTATCAGCCTGGTCAGCAGCACTCTCAATTCTGAGTCGAAAGGTTGTGGGTTCAAAGCGTACATCGGGACATTGTACTGATACAGTCCAGGCTGACACTCCAGTGCTGTGCTGGGCTTGTGCTACATTGTCAGAGGTGCTGTCATTCTGATGAGATGTTATATCAACATTCCATCTGCCTGTTGAGGTGGATGCTAAAGATAATAATAATAAATAATGCTAAATAATAATAATCCTTGCAGTTCCTAAATGAATCCAGTGACCACATGAAAGGTGCTGTATCAAATGCAAGGATTATTATTGTACAAGATAATAATAATAATCCTTGCATTTGATATAGCGCCTTATCGCATCTTCGCGATGTCTCAAAGTGCCTCATAGAGTATACTGTAAAGTGAATTGACTGCGTATTTGTGCGCGAAAAGATCTCATGGCACTATTTGAATAGGGAAGGGAGTTTCTCCTCGGCCAACAATCCCCCAGATAAAATTAGTCATTAATTTCATGGTTATTTCTATGCCAATCTATCTAATAAAAATTCATTAACCCACCAACCAAATTGTACGCGTTGGCTGCCACATTTGTCTACCAGTATCCAGATACTACACTTTACAGTTAAATTCTGAGAAGAGTTTTGAGACATTTCGGTGACATGATCAGGCACTTTATCTTATCTTAAGTCTTATTATTATAAGTGGCTGAGCAATGGTAAGTAATCAGCATGTAAAAAATAGCTCTTAAGATAGTTATGTCTATAATTGTGCTTATTATAGCTGTGACAACAACAACAAAATTACATTTATATAACACCTTTCATGTTGGGAGGACATACCAAGGCGCTGGGCAATCAGTGTTTCGGACCTGAGCTGTGGGGTGGTTTTAGGGAGCGTGGAGGGCAGGGGGAAAGCACGGTGATAGAAGGCACGGTCGAAGAGGAGGGTCTTGAGATGGGTCTTAAGGAGGCAAGTGAGGGGCCGAGGCGGAGGGACTGCGGGATGGAGTTCCAGAGGTTGGGGCAGAGTGGCTGAAGGCTCGCCCGCCAATTGTGGAGTGGGTGAGGTGGGGGACATGAAGCAGGCCGGAGCCCGGAGGGAGCGGGCAGGTTGCGTGATCTCTGCTCCCCGTAGTGTAGATAATGGAGCTTTCCTCGTAGATTGGCCTAAAAACCTAAAAGTCTGTGGGAAACCCCTCGAGTTGGCAGGTATGCAGAATGTTCAGTGGGCCAGATGAAATCATCTCTCGGGCCAGATGTGGCCCATAGGCCATCAGTTGGACCACCCAACTAAACTATGAGCTGAAAGTCCTTAAGTGCGGCTTGAACCCCAAACCGTCACAGCTTCAAGGCAAGAGTTCTACCAACTGAGCAAGCGGATGGACACATGTCTGATTTATCTACCTCTTAAAACAAATTCTAAAACTGCTTGAAATCAGTTCCTCCCTCTGGACAAAGCCATTGCCATTTATTTGCCACATCATTTGGTATGAAATCAATTCTGGAAGATCTGGAAGAAAGTTAATAGTGCACTTTATATAATTGTTTCAGGGCAGGATTATTTATTGTGATGGCTTTCAAAGTGACTTATCGGAATGACTTTATTGCATTAGATCTTAGCCAGATGAATGGGAGTAGATTTCTTGAGGGTGCAGAGGGAATCAACTTTCTCTTCTGGCCTTGGATGCGGAATCGAATGGGATGATTGAAAGGGAGATAACTTGGGAGAGTAAGGTATTTCAAGATGTGGAGAAAGGGTAGGAAATTGGATTAAAAGATCTGACATGGTCTAATAAAAGAACAGACAGGTTTTCTTCTCCCGATCCTATATTTCCACAAGGCAGGGTTAGGAAATGAGAATAAAATGCCTGTGAGCCGTGTGATGAAAATGGTGACCTACAAAATGTTAATTACATAACATACAGCACAGAAACAGGCCATTTGGTCGAACCAGTCTATGCCGGTGTTTATGCTCCACATGAGCCTCCTCCTGCCCTTCCTCAACTAAGCCTATGAAATTAACCTTCTATTCCTTTCTCCCTCATGTACCTATCTAGCTTCCCCTTAAAGGCATCTATGCTATTCGCCTCAGCTACTCCTTG